TTCTCGGTGTTAATCAGCGTAAGATTTCGATAAATTGACGCTACACGAGTAGCGCTCGCATCGCATCGCAACCTCGTTACCCTATCCTCATTTCGCGCGCGCTCTATTCGCGTTGTTACAGAGGGCAAAAGCCTGTGTACGAATTCGAAAAAAGAGAAGGATCCACGCGTTTTGAAAAGCGGTCGCGCGACAATGTACAAGTTTAATTAAACCGAAGCTACGATTGAAATTTCATTACGCAAGACGGCTGATAGCGCGTACTAGCTCAAGATTATGTCTCGAAGCTTAATTAAAACAAAAGCCTAGTGAGCCGAGTGCAGCCGCGGTCTTTGTTGGAAATAATTGGATCGAGATGAACCGTTCCATTTTTTGTTGTTGCCAAGCAACGGGAAAAGCGCGCGTAACCGGTGCTTTTGACAGGGGGCGGAAAATGATAAAAAAAAAATAAATAAAATAAAATTACGGCAAGTGAGGGAACCACGAGCGAGCAGGAAGAGTCTCGCCTTAGCGAGGTCGAATGCATTCGCGAAGCCGCGTGTCATGTTGAATTCATTTGTAAAGCAAAAAGCGTCTTAATCAGTTTGGAGCTCGGGTTGTGCTTTGCGTGCTGCGCTAAAATGGCATCGAATTGAAAAAGCCCTTTTATCCCCTCTTTTGCTTTTTTCCGCGCTGCGCGCAACGAATACAAAAGCTTAGCTCTCCCTGTGAAAGGTTACTATGTTAAATTAAGTCTATGGTACGTTGAATATTGCGCTTTTAATGAACGTAACGATAAAAGGCCATATCCTAGGATATTATTATTCAATGATGCTAATAAGCATTGTGTTGGCATGAAAACTTTTGTTTATCGAGTTATGTAATGCGAATACCGAGTTATTGTCTTGCCGGATTAACTTATCCCTTTAGAGTTTCCCTAAGAGAGAACATTCACTTAAATAAGATATTATCTGCGAGCTTGGATATCTCTTCCTTAATAATAATGCTATTATCGCATTTCTATTGTTGAGACCTATTGAATTTAAATTCTAGTTGAATGATAATAAGACAATGAATCTCTGACCTGGATTTATTAATTAATATTTTTTCAAATATATAAATACTATAGTTATCTTTTTTGTATTAATAAGATTATTATAGGTTTTATCTCATTTGTGTATATTTAATATCGTGTCTATTTAACAGTTGAAATATCGATTATGTCTGTGTATTTTTAACATGTACACGAAATGAAAAGTTTTATTTAAATTGAAATTTCAATCAATTAATAATTTTATATAAAAGTAGATCTTAATATTTATTGTCATAAAAATTTTGTGGAGAAGACTACGTTTATAACTTGAAAATATAAGACCCCATATTAATTTCAGATAATACAATGTTTTTAGCAAGCAACTTACGACCGACAATAAAAATTTATGAAATGATAGATTTTGTAAAAATGTTCTTTCGTTTACCAGTACTAAATCAAATTTCACTAACTAATTTGGCGTTCATTTTTCTTCGTGCGGCGGTCTGCTCAATCGAGAAATAATTAGAGCAAAAATTACACCAAGGTGCAGCGAAAAATAAGTCATAAATTTTTTGCTAGCTCTCAAGTCATGATTGAGAAAAAAAAACGCTCGCTCGATAGGAGCCATTATTATAACGGACAAGTGAATCTGAGAGTTAACGAGTTTCCGTCAGGCAAATTGCGATTCAAGTCCATTTGGTATAACGTCGTCGTCTTCCCCCTGCTCGCCTTCCTCATTGTCTCTCAAGAGAAAACAATGGCGGAAGTGCCGCCCTTTTCTCGCGAATGTTTTTTTTTCCTTTGCTCGTCTTTTTTTCAGTCGCCGAGGGACATCGACGAATCGGAGCCTTTACGAAGCGCGAACATCAGTTTCCGTACAAGGAAGATCTTTCTGAAAGCTCGCTCGGCTTTATGACTCTGCAGGGCGCACGACGCGTCGGTGGTTATCTCTCGCTCCGCTCTGTCGAGCGAAAAAGTACGTATATAACGCGCGCGCGACGATAGTCGCCGATAGCGTTTTACCGCACTGACTGAAACTTTCGGAAAGTTGTTCCGCGTCGGTTGGTGATGTCGAACGCAGCGCGCGCGTACTTTGGTTGGCGAGCAACGGAGCTGGCTAACCAACCGAGGCAGGCAAATAACTCAATTCCAAGTTCGTCACTAAGAAATGTCACTTTACAACCAATTATATAATACTGCAGTTAGTCTTGCTCGTCTTTCGCGCATTGCTGTCTCCCCGAGGTGAGATTAATCACAGCGATACGCGCAGCCCGCAAAACGACCTGCGATCCACGTATAAATTCCACCGGCTGCAGCGAGGCGGTGTTAAGTTCATTAATATACATGACTACGAATATGCATAATAGCCGCGCAGTGGCGTATTAGCGGGAGTAAGGTTCCGCGCGGGGAGCTCCGGGATTTATACGCGCGTTTGCGCGGGAAATGAAGGATGAAGCGCGGGAAAATTGCACGATCAGGGCTGATGCCGATATGATTAATATAAGCATCTCGCGGCCGACCTCCGCGCTAATCATCTCCGTAAAGTCTTGGGATAATCCGCAACGTAAAGTGACGAGCGCCCGAGCTCGATTCGTGCACGACGAGGACTAGCGCGCAGGCGATGTCGCGTCGCCGTCGTTCAAATTCCGAAATCCCGCCGATTGCGCGCAATCGAGGCAACCCGAACCCAAACTCGCTTTGCTCGGCCGCGCACGTTGCTTCTCGTACGAGACCCTTGCGAGGTCGTTGCCTCGCGCTCGCCGATAGATTCTCAGGCACAAGATAAGGAGGAGGAAAAGCGGCGAGCGTCGCGCGCATAAAATCGCGGCCGAAAAAATAGGTCATCCGAACATCATCGGGCAAAGTACCACCTGCGATAAAAGGACAGGTTGCGGAGATTGCGGAGGCAGTCGGCCACTCGCTACTATCTTCTCTCTCTCTCTCTCTCTCTCTCTCTCTCTCTCTCTCTCTCTCTCTCTCTCTCTCTCTACGCGCGCGCGCGCGCGAGCGCACTCTCTTGTCTGCCGCGTAGCACTGACTTTACGTGCTTGCGCGCGCTCGTAAAGGTTCAAACTCGGTCACCGGTATTTACCATTCAACGCGCAAAGCCTCGCATTGTTTAACGCGCAAACACGTCCCTCTTTATCGCTTTGTTTTTCTCTTTTCGATAGTAATTTCCACTCGGTCGAGTGTAGCGCAGCCGAACGTGTGGCTGGATCATGTGCGAACGAAGCTGTTCTACCGGCCTAACCATAATCGCGAACTACAGGCTCGCCAGGACGGACAAAGCGCTGCAATCACGAACGAGACGGTCGCGCTTGGCTTTACATGCATCGACGGACGCACGCGTACGCAAGCTTCGCGGCGAGAGGTAGATTGCAAAGCTCTCCGCCTGCAGACTGCACTCGCGGCGCGAGTACGAGAAAGGCCGAGGGCACGCGTACACATCTCGGCACGGCGCATCGTAAAGCAGGACTCGTAGTCAGCATCAAACATGATTCTGTACTTGGCTCGCGTCATCCGCTTGGAGTGAAGCGGATGCTGAGTCATAATTGGAAGGTGCGACCGACCGCGGAGTCCGTTGCTTTTAAGATGCTACTCCGCGAGGTCAACGATCCGGAAGTTACGCGAACGTGGTCTCAAACTTTCCCAACTCTTTGCGAATCCAATTTTTTCGAGGTCTGTAAATGAAAGTTGTAGCTTGGGGAAATCTTAGCCCCTTACTAAGCGCATAAAAGTCGCAGAACGAATGCCCACGAGCGGCTGGAGGTGTATAAAAGACCACACTACAAATACTACGCGCGAGGAGGGCCACCATGTACACGAGTAATTATTTATCGGCGACGTGACGTTCGCTCGCTCCCTTAACGTAGGCTCTTGTATCCAATGAGGCGAAATCCCCGCAAGCTCTATCGCAATGGCGGGCCTTTAACTGTCAATTCGATTTCCACTGATCCTCTTTCAATATCTTGTTTATGGATTGTTAAATGATTGTTTAATTTTTAATTCACAATAATTATGATGGTAATCGATCGTTGAACATTAAATTTTTGTTTTGCTTTCAATAAGAGCCACAAAAATCGAAACATATTTTCGTATTACACTAAAATCTAAAAATATTCAGTTAATTAAATTATTCTGTACCATTTGACAAGCCAAAGACATCAATTCATAATCTGGAATTAATATCTTGTGAAAATACATGTATATTCAACTCATTCCCTACAATACCTCTGCGACCAAACGAAAGGATGGATGAATTTGAATTGAATTGAATGGTGTTTTTATTGGCTTCATAGATTTATACATCGCCATGATACATAGAGATGGATGGATTTATATCGAACAAGATTGTGGCCCCATCTACTGCCACTGCAATGAAATACATAATTCTGACACTGGATGCCCTTTAATTCGCGAAATTTGAAAACGAAGTTGAGTTTTGATACTCGATTTAAACGGTTCATATCAACTTTACGTTCTTGTTTTTACAATAGAAATCAGCACTATTCGTAGATAATTAATTATTATGAAACATTTTCATTAAAAATATAGTTTTAATGTAAATAAAGTATAATGGTTTTGAAATAATTTGATCAAGATAGTGCCATTCTTTTATAGCATTCTTCCGAAATAATTTTCAACGTTGCCTAAAATATTGATTGATAAGAAATTTATCATTTGTAAATTTATATAGATGAGAGTAGTCCGAACGATGAAAAGATCAATAGAAAAATGTTGTTATTATTATCAGCGTTTCAAGTGGTAAAGAAAAAAAAACGACACGGTAGTTACTTGATCTTGGTAGTTAAAAATATTGAAACTAGTAAAAATTTACCGATGATATACGTACGATTAATCGTGCACGGAGGGAATAAAAAAAATGAGATTTATTGCGTTTAAAAGATATTTTTTACCATTATTTAAAAAAGATGGCATTGGAAGTCGACAAAGTAAAAAAATGATTTTCATTTTCAATGATTCTTAACGATTGTATTATTAAAATTTATTAAGAATTTATTATATCTTTATAATTGAGCTGTTATTTGTTTTATTATTACATAATTTATTATTACATAACTTGAAATACGTAGGAACAGAAAAGAATAATTAATATACCTGTTCAAACATATGAACAAAGCGATTTTCATTCGTATGATATGAATTTAGAACAAATTATTCATCTAAAAAACTTAGCAAACTTGCACTTATTACTATGGCTCGTCATATTAGTAAATTATTGCAAGGTAAAATTTTGTATTTCAGAGTATATCTTTTATTATAAGGAATTAAACGGTCATGAAAATTTTATTATATAGCAAATTTACTATCAATATCATACTCTGTTTTAGTTAGAGGTATAACATTCTATAAGTAAGTTGTGATTTAATTCTACGTTTCCATATTCATGCAATTATGGACGTTGTTACTATTAAACATAAAATCCTAACCAAGGAATGCAATCATTTATTTATGCTACGTTTTCAAGTAAACTGAAAGACAAAACTCAAAAATATAAATAATATAAAACGTTTTTCTTTAAATGGAAAACATAAAATAATTTTATGAAAATGTCTAACTTATTAATTTAAAAATCTGGCAAAATGACACCAATTCCGATCTAATTTTTTGTGTACGAAATCACAATATTATTAAAAATAGCTTTGAGTAATGATCTCCCTCACTAGTCATTTTAAAGAACAATGACCCGTGAAAACTTACACGTAAATCAAATGTTCTCCTTGAGTATTCAGCTAGTCATGTGCATAAATATCTCGATCTTTTTAAACCATAAACAAATTATTCCAATTTTTCTTTTGAATTTCTAAGCATAAGTTAACTGAGTATTAACAAATTTTTATTATACAAACAATAGTCTACAATTCATATTATAACAGTTAGCTATTTTCGTTTAAATGTGTCCATTTTTCACTTGTTCTCCACAACCACTCTGTTAATTGTGGTTTATGTGCAAGAGGATTCATATCGTCATATTTGCATTCACTGTATTAAGAATTTTTTATTAGTAAACTTCATGTATTTGATTAATTAATATTCAATGTACATATAAAGACAATCATAATCAATCTCACCTGAAGTAATATCCAGATACATCTTTTAATTCAGGACTTAAGGCAGCGTATAAAACTGTTTGAGCTCCATTTTTTGGAGTTTTGACAAATGGCCAAATTATAGGTTTCATAAAAATAGTACCCAGGATGCCATTGAAGTGTTTTAAGTGTCTAGCAATCTCTGTAGATACAACACCTGGGTGAACAGCATTTGCAGTAACTCCAGTTCCTACAATTTTTTGCATGAATAATCTTATCAATTTTTCATAACTTGGATATCAAGAATTTTATGTAAATGCTATATAAACCTTTCAATTTTTTTGCCAATTCTATGGTAAACATTACATTGGCCAATTTACTCTGTGCATAAGCCTTTCCTTCGTCATATTTTTCTTCGCTATTTAAATCAAACGTGTTAATTACTCCTCTTTTGTGAGCTAAACTAGAAACATTCACAATTCTAGAAGGTGCAGAAGCTATAAGGGTATCTAACAATAAATTGGTCAATAGAAAATGACCCATGTGGTTTACACCCAATTGCAATTCAATTCCTTCTTTTGTGTAACTCTTTGGAGTTCTCATAACACCAGCATTATTTATAAGTATATGTAGTTTTGAGAATTCTATAAAATCATAAAATATGTATGTCACATTATAAAGAAAAAAAAATTACATATTTCTATTCTCTATTCACATAAAGGATTAAACATTACATATTTATATTATCTATTCACCTTTTTTAAATAGTTCTACAAACTCTCTGATACTCTGTTGAGAAGACAAATCACATTTTCTACAGTAAACATACTTATTTTTAGTATCAAATACTATCTCTGTTCGAGCCTGAGCAATATAAAATCTTGTTAATACAATATCAAGCAATAACATATCACATTACTTACATTTTCACATTTAAACATGTCTCGACATGCCATAACAACTCTAGCATCTCTTCTGGCTAAATCATGTGCTACTTCTTTCCCAATACCTGTATTAGCCCCAGTAACAATGACTATTTTACCTTCTAACTTTTCATTTCCTTCATACTTAGTTCCTTGACACCAGTCTCTGAAATTCAATTTTGAAATTGTCAGTACTATAACTGAAATATCTGATAAAAAATGCTACTATTAATCACAAGATAAATTTCTTCTTGTATAAATAATCTACTATCTTTGTAGTGTAAATATTTTTAATGTAAATTTAAAAAAAAATTATAGAACACATACTTAATCAAGTAAATAACTCCAGTGAAAGAAGCTGCAGTGCTTGCCCAAATAATAGGTTTAGGCAGAGAAGCCATTTTTGTAAATATATAAATAACTTTTTTAATTAATCAATAAGAGTTAACAAATGAAAAATTGATTAAACATCATTGATCACTGAATCAACTCGTCTGCTATAACTAAAGAATAGAGTCCAAAGAATAGGTTAGGATTTCTTTGTATCTTTCAAAAATTTTTAACCGGTTGAAACACGGATATGAACCGACATACCTTGCTCATATGTGTGTATGTACATATATATATACATGGAAAATAGAACTCCATAATATATAATGTGGATCGAATGATCACAACTGCATAGTTACATTGCCGACTCTAGATGGCACGTCAGTGTAATTCTAAGATTCTAACAATGACAAGTTTTGTAATCTGACAATAATATATTCTGTGCCACTGTCTCATGACGAGTCAGTTTATTGACGGATATCAACAAGTCAAAGAAATGCAGTGTAATAATTAAAACCATACATATAAATTAAGGTATAGTGAAAGTAAAAAATGGTGAATCTGCAATCATGACATTCGTAATATTCTAAATTCACATTGAAATACATGATGGGATAGTAAATCAACTTTTCTAAGCGTAGCTCAGTTTTATGGAATAGATTCAATTGATTCGAGATAATTGATTTCGTTGTGCCGACGTTTGCTATATAAATTTTTTTGCACAATGTTTTCAAGATTTCTCAGACTTGTAAGGTTAAACCGATTTCAACAGAGATCATTAGGTTATGTCGTATACGGTCTAAAAAAGGTATGTTTTATCTTTTTCAATAATACTAATTGCTTTCATTATTTCGAACTCCATTATTGATGAATCTTTTATTTTCAGGAATATGTCAGTTCAAATAATTTCAATGTTTATACTCCTGTTCCATTTTATTTTGCTGCTTTATGGGGAATCACAAAGAAAAAGGATGATGACAAATCATTTACAGCAAAAGAAGTAGTTATAGCAAAGGCTGATGCTTTGTTTGAACAAGAGGAGTACAAAGAAATCTACAGATTACTTAGTAGCTACAAGGTAACTTGTCTAAGTACAATAAACATTAAAAGCTATTGTATTAATATAAAAAATTTAAATGAATTGATCTTATCAACTTGTCACATGCATAATATTTTTATGCCAGGATAGTAAAGATGTTGAAATATTATGGAGATTGAGTCGAGCACTCTACAAAATGTCAAAGTTGGAATCAAAAGATGCTGAAGCAAAAAAGATGATCTATGAAGCATATGATTTAATAATTCATGCCTTAAGCTTAAAAGATGATCACTGGGCTGTTCATAAATGGGTTGCCATCTTATTAAATACAAAAACATCTTATGAAGGAACTAAAGTGAAAATTAGAGAGTTGCATAATATAAAAAATCACATGTTGGTAAGTTAAACAAATTTGATTTCTTAAAAAATTTTAAATATTTAATTTGAATGATTATTTCAATAGAAAGCCATTGAATTAAATCCAAAAGATGCTACAACTCTTTACATGCTTGGTAATTGGTGTTATCAAGTAGCAGATTTAGCATGGTATCAAAGGAAAATAGCTTCAGCAATTTTTGGTGAACCACCAACTTCTTCTTTTGAGGAGGCACTTCAGTTTTTCGAACAAGCTGAAAACGTTGATCCTAATTTTTATAGTCACAATTTACTGATGCTTGGTAAAACATATCTAAAGTTGGATAAAAAAAATGAAGCAATAAAATATTTAAAAATGACCAGCGAATATCAAGCAAAAAATGATGATGATCAAGAAGCTAAACAAGAAGCAGTGACAATCCTCAACCATATCTGACGTAAATATTAAAAAACGTCTAGAAATATTTCATTTTTAGGAAATTTCACTAATAAATTTTATTTATAGGATATGCTTTGCAGTCTTGATTGACGCTTATTTGGTCAATGGACTAAGGGTTGGGTTAGACTTGAATTTGTGCAGTCTGGAAAACTTGTTACTAAAAAGATTATGAAAATTGTACAGCAAAGTTTCATCATAGTATTTTCATTTTTCTCTTCCATACGATGTGATATATGAAATATGTTTGGCAAAAGTTGTTTCAATTACTTAGAATGATAATAATTATAATTAAGTCAATTGTATTTTCTACCTGCTTTACAGTTAATGTCAATTAATATATTAATCGCCGACTGTTTTACCACACATACAATGTAATCAGTAACTTCTGAAATTATGAATGTTCTATGTGTAAGAGATATATGGAATGTGTAATTAAAGGTAGCAATTTGTTTTTATACAATTTTTACATGGGTTAACAAAGGTGTGAATTTAGTAGATAATGTTAACTATGAAAAGATAATAAAAATATTTACACTATCACATTGATGGAATTCATTTCAAGCCACAATAATATAATAAAAACTAGTATTTATAGAAAAGAATCGATAAATTATTTTATACAATAAATATTTTATTTCTGTAGCTCAGTAACCAGAGTGACTATTAATCTGTTTATCTTAAAATCACTGTAGCAATTATGCATTTAAAGTCTATTAGAAAGTGTTATCCAATTGATAAAATAAAAAGATTTTGAAATGATTGATTTTAGATGGAAATCGAGAAATAAGGAGGTAAAAGAATTTCTTACAAATGTCATTATGATTAATCTATTTTCGATATAATTACAGGATTCTTAGAAATGTCATATTCTCTCATGGAGAAGAAGGGATACAGTTTTACATCGATACGCACTTAAAACTATTGAAAAATAAATAATTTAAATGCATGATCGTAAAAATACACTCTATGAAATAATTCTACTTGGATAGTCTTTGTTTATCAATTGGTTAGTATGCAGTTTTTCGCACCCACTGAAAAACCAAAACACACACATCACTTGCAGGTGTATTCTTCGGTGCGCTCGGTGCACGTCTCGCAGTGAACCTTGCAACACCAGTGGAACTTGCACCCGCACTGCCAAGTCTTGGTGAACTGATGAGTATTGTAGCCACGTCCGCAGCACATCAAATCACAACCGTCTGTACCTGCAACGATAAAAGTAAAATTTCATCGTCGAACATCCGATAGCGAAATTTTTCGAATTCGACGCGCGAGAGATTAGCGTTAAGTTTCAAAATGCTTGCGTGTGTGCGTACACCCAAGTTCTATGCTCGCTCGCAAGGATTACCTTAGAGCCCGACGACTTCATCCGCGAACGCGCTGCGTTCGAGAACCGTCCAATTGTCGTCCGAATCGGAACGCGCGTATTTTTCGAAAAAACCAGCGTAATATTAATTAGCGAGTTTTCCAACGACAAAAAGATGAAGACGATGAGCGTACCTCTACTGGTGCGATTGCAGTATCGACCCTGAGTACCGAGACTGCCTTGTGCGAGGTCGGGCTCGCAGTAGTTGGGCGACGGCTGAAGGAATACGAGTTCGCTTCGCTTGGGTATCCGTTTCTGACTGATGCCACCGGGTCCGGAGCCAAGCTTTGCTCTTTTGAGCACGAGATGTGGCCTTCGCGGCTGCGGCTGCTGCTGCTGCTGTTGCTGCTGCTGCTGCCACGTCGTCGTCGCACTGCCACTGCCAGCGCCTGACCTCTTCAGCGCCCAACTTCGACTTTCCACCAGTCGCGAGGATGGTCCTTTTGGATACTCGGTCGGCAGACCCTGCGTTTTGGCGTCGTTGCCGAGGATCGGAGACACCTCCGAGGAACGTATCAGCGCCTCCGTGCTCTGCAAAACGAAGCTCGCTCGTTTGGCGTTCCGTCGGCGGTTCCGAGCGGAAACGGCAACTCGTACCTGTATCGTAGGTGGTGGCGGTGGCGTGATGGCGATGACCGGCCTCGCCCTGTAATACTTCTTCATGAGCGCGTCGCCGATCTGTCGAAAGCTCGGCAGAGTTCGCCAGCAGGTTCTCACGGTGCAGGAGCCGGATACCCCGTGGCATTTGCACTCCGTCTGCAGCAGCGATTTCACTATCTGCCACGGACGAGCAACAAAAGCCTGGCTTTACAAACGCTCCTTCGTTCTTTTATCGTACGCGGACCGCGAGCACGCGCCTTCGCGTTAATACGCCTTCCATCTGGCTCCGCGCCAACGAATTTACGCGTCCGCGCTGGCTCGCTGCCCGCGGGACTCCTAAAGTCGCCTAATTGATAGGCGAGCGCACCAAGCCGGCTTCGCGCTGGCGACACCGTTACCGTGCATCCTCTCCTCGCTAGAACTTGCCACGGAGTTCGGGGCGACGGGCACGCGCTAATTGAACACGGCGCGGGCAAATTAATTGGCGCGCGCCGGAGAAAAGAGCGGAGATGCGGCTTCCGTGGGCCGAGGTCTTTTGCCGGCGCGCGAGAGGACAAAAGCGCGTGCGCGCGCGCGCGCGCGCGACGCTAACCGAGAGGAATAAGAGACGAGCGCGCGCTAAGAAGGAAAGAGAGGATTCAGGAGAAAGGAAGATACGCCTTTCCAGATTATCGCTCGGCGCGCACAGCCTCGAGGATATCTGCGTTGCGAAACGGCGAAAAATGGTTTTGTTTCCAGAATGTCCCCGGAATGGCACTCGACGTGCGCGCGCGCGAATTCACGCTGAGTCGAGCGAAATTTCGAAGCTTATCGCACGTTCGACTCGAGGTCGCCGGCAGGTTTTTGTTTGTCTGTCTGTCTGTCTTGCCTCGCGCCGCGCTCCCATTGTCGCAATCGGCAGCTCCTCTTCCCGCGAGCGGCAGCCGATCGGCGCGCGTGCATTCCAGTCAGAATTGCGACGACGATGAAGGCTTTGGCTTTCGCGTGGCTGTGTCTCGTCGTGTTGTCAGGTGCGGTATCGCCCGGAAGCTACTTGGACGCTTTGCGCGCGCTGCGATTTATCGGTCTCGGTCTGTTCTCAGTTGCGGCAGCCGACGATCCGATGGTTGGCGTCGACCCGTGCACGAGAGGACCGGCGTACTGGTGCAAATCCGCCACGTAAGAGAGCACTTAATGCGCAGCTTTGCCGAGGAGTAAGAGAGTGGCCGAGTAAGCGCACGAGAAAACAAACTGTTTGCAGGACTGCCAAGGAATGCGACATGGTCGACTACTGCAATGAGTGGAGCTCGGAGAAAAAGCGATCCAGTTTCTAACTCATGCGCACACGGACACGGGCGCACTTGTACACTTCTACACGACTATGTTGTAAAATGTTTTCTCCGTCTGGCATTATGAAGCTAATATATACGCGCACATTAAGTGATAAGTCGGAATTTTATTAGCGTGTCCAATAACACTTTCGCGTTTCCACGATCGATTAAGCACTCGCGGGGGGTAGGAGGCTGGGTAACGATCGCATCGGGCGCCTCTCTCGCGTGGATCATGCGCGATCGAGTGGCTGCCAGTCGACCGACGAGACAGGGCCGAAGCATCGACCCACGTCGGAGGGCACACTCGCAACGATCGCCTGCAATACTGACCTTTCTGCCGGCCTTATTGTTGTGGAGGTTCATGAGACTGCGCTCGTCGCCTTCGATCTCCCTCACGTCCAGAAACCTACGCGCGAACCTACATTTCATTAACAATATTCCCAAGATTAGATCCGGAGGAGGAGCAAACCACTTTTCGCAAGCCACCGAATGTCTCGCCAGGCGAGAGACGCAGTGCTGCGCCTGCGACGCGATGATGAAGAGGACTGGACGAGTCTTATTTTCCTTACCTCATTCCGTAAGTGACGTCGGCGCTGCAGCCTCCCCATTCCCAGCCGTTCGGCGGTGTCTCCTTCCGCGTTCTTCCAATCAAATATTTTCAGATTAATTCCAGCCTGTCCGATCCTCGCCGACACGTGCGCTGCGTGCGCCTCTCGTTTTTTACTTTGTCCGCGTTCTTTTCACAATAAAACTCATTCAACCGTATTCTAAGCTTCGTTTCCGTTGAAACCCCGAGGAAACGAGAAAAAAAGCGGCTTGGCGATTCGTCAAGACGGCATTAAACGAGCCGAGCGCCAGCCGTCAGACCGCAAACAATATCAAAAGGAAAAAGATGAACGATTTCACCGGTGATTTACTTTTGGCGTCTCTCTCGCTCTCATTGTTGATGTTGAATTTACTGCAATTTGCGTGTCGGCCGTACGCAGGCGCTCGCGCAAAAAGAATCGCGACATTGTGCAAGTCCGTCTGGCTCTCTCACCGTATTGTTGGCTCGCAGCCGCAGGCCGTGATGTTGCCCCGACTGCAGGCCGCCGTCACCGCATACGTGATCCCAGCTGAACTTATCGCGTAAGTGAAGGCCGCCTCTCTGCTTCCTGGAGGGAGAAGGGACAACAATTAGAATTGCGATCGATAAAACGCGGAATTACGATATCGCTCGGGAGACAATCGAGTTTCCTCGCCAGCCGCAACGACAACGGGCATCCGCGCTAACGAACTCTCCGTCTCGCGATACAATCCAGATTCTATCTGACTCTCGCGCGGCCGTGCGTTCTCGCGGTAGTATCTCACTCGGGAGGCGAAAATTTTTCGTCTTATGCCGAGTCGTCCCACGCGCGCCTCTCTCTCTCTCTCTCTCTTTCTCTCTCTTTCTTGCACGGCAAGCTTTCCGCGATCGAGAGAAAAGCCAGCCTACGCGCGCAGATTGATTTGCTCTCGGATGCAAAAACGGCGCCAAGGCGTGCGCGCTTTAATACGCGGCTAATCTTGGAAGATGAGCGTGCATTACGGGCGCACTCGAAGGATAAGGCGCGGAGCGAGACCGAGCGTAGCTTCTTTCGCTGCCGCGCAACCTGCAATTTCTACGAAAGCTAAAAGCCACGGCTAACTACGGCGAGCGAGCGATTAATGCGAAGGTCAGCAGTTAAGTCGAAGTTTAAAACACGCGGGGAGAGAGAGAGAGAGAGAGAGAGAGAGAGAGATAGGAGTTTTAAAAGCATCGCGTGCTGCGGCGCGCCCGAGAGGAGATGTGAGAATTTTTCGCGAGCAAGATTCGCGCGCAGATTCGACGCATTCCTCCTGATAATGGCGACGATGACGATGGATCTCGACGCTCGTTCCCGCCGGGTCGCGTTAGCGCCGCGCGACCGAACCCGCGCGCCCTCGATGTGCCGAGAACAAAAGAATCCTTGCGGGGATCGGGAAAAGAGACGTCAGCTCTGACGGCGGCGCTGCTTTGCGTTGCGCGCGGCGCACACACGTCGAGCACGCGAATTTATTGCCCGCGCGCTCGTGCCAAAGGCCGCGCGAGCGCAAGCGACTATTTAGCGATTTATCGCGTCGCGCGGCGGCGGCGGCGGCGGCGGCGGCGTCGGGCTTTCGCAACGGCCACTCGTTAATCGACGCTTCGATTGTCGCGCGCGCGCACTGCGTAAATCGCCATCGGTACGCTCCGCGATGCGCTAAATCTTCGGCGCTCGTATAGTTCCCCCCCGGGCCGCATTCCAACGCGAAAGTAAGTCATAAAAGGCGAGTCGAGCGGCGCGACCGCGCTCGTCCGATGTCTTCGCGCACCTGGCGCAGCCTTGCGCGATCGCGCGCGCGCGCGTGCGCAAGTGTCGGCCGACTTTGTTTACTTTTCACGGCGAGCCTGGCAAGTACAATCGGATGATTGATCGTCGCCGAATGGAAAACATAATGGACGACTGCGCGAATCGCGTTCGCTCGATAAACCAACTGCTCCGCCGTAGGTGCTAATTGAAAGCCGAAGCGTTGTTTGCGCAACACTTTCGAAGAAAAGAAGTCCTCATTATTCGGCGAACTGTCAGCAAGGCAAAAAGGAAAGAGCACGCGGCTCGACATCGAGCCGGATAAACTCGTTCAATAATCAATTCAACGATTTATAATTGGGCGTTAAACGCTCGATACGTTAGTCGTTTGCACGCGCGGCCTGCGAAATAATGATTTATCGCGGTCGTCGATCGCCCGCGAAACAGCCTCTTCCTCTTGGTCCCCCCCCCCCCCCCCATCTCTCTTCTTTTTCTTCTCCTCTCCTCGATTCATGCATACGCTCGCGGCGCATCTCGCGCGTGGGCGCGCCGCGCCGGTTATTTACGACGCCGCGGACAATTAATTCGCGTTTCGACAGCGAGCGCCTGGCATTCTGACGCTTTATAAGGCCGAGATCGCGTATCGCGCGAGGCGAGCGCGCGGTAATGAGCTAAGCCCTTTGTATCGATCGGGCTATCTGCGATCTCTGACGCGCGAGAGCGATGCGCTCGAGCTCGAGTTGGCGAGCAAAAATAAAGAGGCGCGACGCGAGCCCCGATCGTCGACGGCAGGACGGCGCGCGCGCGAAAGTCGGCCTGGGAGCGCGCTTTCGTCGGCGGCCGCTGGCAGAGTGCGCAGGTGCAAGAGCCCCGGCTTTTCCCGGCTTCGCGATCGGTCGCGACGCGCCGCGTCGAGCGGTTAATTATCGGAGGCCGATTTCAATCGGCTGCCGGCGGGAGAGGGCCGCGCTAAGCGGCCCATTAATCTCGCGCGGCGGAGCTGCGCACTCGCCCTCGCGATTCGCCGAAACTCGCGCTCGCTCGATAAACCGATCGATTTCTCCGGCGAGGCGGCCAGCGCAGCGCGTACATAATACTCGTTCTTTGCTCGCGACGGCTGCGCGCCAGCGTGCACTTTCGCCTTGAGTAATTAGCGCGACGCGCGTTCGCGGGAGAAGGCGGCCGACATATCGATGCATGGGTAGGTTCCCGACTCGCGTGACGTTCGTTCGAGCTCGACGCGCTCGCGCATACGTATACCGGCAGGCGAAACTCGGCTCTTTTTATGTAATTTCCCTTCGGCGAGCGCGTTGCGCTGCTCCGCACCGGTCTCGCTCTTTATTCGCCGACGCGCGATGCCGGCGCGATTGCCTTTTATTTTTTCTCCCGATGCGGGCGTTTCGTTATGGCACCGAGATATCGAGCCGCGCGCGGCCACTCGCTCCGGTTACGAAACCGGCGACGCGAAGGACGGACTGGCGCTTGCCGGCAGCGAAATTCAATCACCGACGACTGCAGCCTAGGCTCCGGCCTCTCGCGCCGGTAGCAAAGCGTTCTCGCGCGCGTGGGTGCCGTCAGACGAACAACAGACAAGCGAAACGCGCGGAAAGAACAAGAAGACGGCGAGGAGGAGGAGGAGGAAGAAGAAGAAGAAGAAGAAGAAGAAGTTGCTCGCCGCGAGCTACGGATATCTCGCGCGTGTCGCTCTTGTCGTGAGAGAGAAGTAGTCGTTTCCATCTTGTCGCTGCTGCCGCTACTCCTTGTGCGCCGTTGTGTACGACAAGATCTTTATTTCGCGCCGCGCCGCGGGAGTCTAACTGACTGCATCCTTTCGCGGGTGGCTGTATTGCTCTGGACGTAGGTGTGTGCCTGGTGCGAGCCGGAGCTTTCGGATTCGTCCGGTTACGCAACCATCGGAAAGGGGCTGTCTCGGTTAGTTTTTTTTTGCCACCCGATGGGGCGAGCGACGTTTCTTTTTCTTTTCAGCCTGGCTCCCCAACTGCGGCTTCTATTGTACTACCACACACGTGTGCTCGTTACTTGGCGTCGCCGTCGGTGAAGCGACATTCGTCGTTCGCCCAATCCCAAAGCCTAGAAGCGGAGTTCTTTCCCCAACCCGTAAATCCTCGTCAATTGTCGATGAGAATGGCGTGTAACGCGCGAGCTTTGGCGCCTTTAATTAGGAGGCCGCGGCAACGCGATCGGATCCGCCGTCGTCCCCAGCAATTTGTTAAGAGGCAGCCCTGCAAGCGAAATTTCACGGGAAAAGCCGGCCGATAAGAGGAGGCGCTCGGGCAGCCGAGCCGGATTAATTTATGTGAAAGTTCTTTTTATTGAATTCATTAGACGACGCGAGGCCGAGTTTTGCGCGCTGCCGCGATAAAGCCTCGTTAAGGCTCGTCGCTCGGCCACGATAAGCCTTGCCTCCTCCCATACATCATTTTGTCGATTCGATTTCGCGAAATTGCCCGCTTATCGACTACTCTCTCGCCTGGTACCTTTTTTCTGACGGTCTTGCACCCGCAGCAGGCATCACCAGAGAGGTAGAGAGCCCACGAGAGACGTTGAGTTCCGCGACTCGACGCTCGACGCGTTACCCATAAAAAACTTGACGAACGCAGCGACTGGCCTGTCTTTGTCTCTCTCTCTCTCTCTCTCTCTCTCTCTCTCTCTCTGCTTTACCTTTGCTGACCTGTCGTTATACGCGTGTATTAATTTATCAGTGGAATGCCGATGCTTTTGGAGTCAAGCCCATCCTCTAAACTAAAATATACCTGAAAGAGACCACCAAGACGACGATTAACCAATCGGCCATAATGAAGACGCCGCGACCACTTAGCGTACGTGAACCGAGCGCGCGACGAATTTGCATTCGGCGAACACCAATCCGCGCCGCGTGTCCTTAACGATCTGGGAGGTACGCGCTCTCCCCGTTCTTTTTCCACTGCTTTCGCGCTGATTCAGTCGTTTAGATCGCTCCACTTTAATATGCTCGCACTCGTTCTGCTTCTTTTACGAGGATCCGACATTTTTGACCACTGACTCTCCGTTTTGCTTGCGCTGAGTAAGTTATTGGTTAATTTAGGAAGTTGAGAAACTTCCAATTTGCCAGCTTTTGTAAATATAATATAACTCTATTTTTTCGATTGTCCGTGGGCGTATCGATCTTTTTTCTTGTCTGTTTTGTATTTGTCGTAACTTGCTCGGTATAGTTGCACGATAAACTAGTGCATTTAATTATTTCTCCGACAGCGCTCGAAATGAAAAAAACGCAATGCCATTCGGAATTTCTGAATCGGCGCAATTCATTGCCGCTCTCCCGTACGATTATTTAAATGAAAAAGCGCCGATCGCATCGAGTCATCTAATTTAGCGAAACTCAACGCCGACATTGGCACGTCGTATACCGTCGACTCCGCAGCCACAACCGAGGCTGCCGAATGGAGCCGCCGGCGACAAACCCGGGAACGTCGATAATCCCCGTCTGCACGCGAGCACGAGAAGACAGCGGAAAACAGCGAGAACGCGGCTGTTCGTCCAGGTATCTCACGTATGACGAACAACCTCTCGAGCCGATAAACACACGGCAATTGGTCAGCTCGGAGGAATAATCTATGCGTTATGCACCTTCCGCGCGCCTTCGTCACGCAGCGCCGAGCTGCATCGCGTAATTCGAGCCGAGAGAGAGAGAGAGAGAGAGAGAGAGAGAGCGGCCGGAGTATATCGATCCCTCAGCCTCGCGCTCGGATCGGTTTGCCCGACTCGCCGGCGGCCGAGCGGCCACGAGCGCTCTCGCGCGTATGCAGTGATATATTAATTTATTGGCTGGCTTATTCATTTCCCAAGGCTGCAAGGCTGACTACCGAAGCCAAGCGTTACTCGCGCCCCGCGTCCGCTCTCAACGATGTCTCGCGCCCTCCGCTCGGTCAGGCTCCGCGGCGAGGATCGCGAGCGTCGGACTCGAGGCTCTCGCTCGATCGTATCTCTCCGCCCGTAATACACGCCTCATTATCGACAGCTCGAGCAATGATTTATATATGCAAATCGCTCCGCGCGCGTGCTGCTGAAAAAAGAAGCAGCCCGCGCGCGAAGCGACTGTTCAGCCTTTCGCGCGCATGCCCCCGTCGCCGCGCACGGCAATCGTCGTCGCGTTACACGCGCCATTAACTGACAAAGCGAGCGGAGCGGCGACGCTCCGCCTCTGTCTGTACGCGCATAAATCGAACAAATTAGCGCGGCGATAAAGCCGACAGAGACGGATCGCCGCGTATGCGATACAATTAGCTCCCTTCGCCGACGGCTTCGCGTAACGATCGCGGCCGACGATTTCGCTCGCGCGAGAGGCTTCCTCGCTGATTGAGATATCGGGGCTCGTGCGGCTTTTCCGCTGGCGCTAAGTGTATTTGTCGCTAATCGAATCGCTGACCGCTCGGGAGCTGGCGAAAGCACGCGCGCCTGCGGAGAGTGCGCGAGGAGGAGTCGACGCTGCGCGCTCCGAGAGACGGCCGAGACACGTGCGTCCGTGGCCGGGCGTATCGTGCGACGCTGCAAAAGAAGTCGCTAATGCGAAAGCTATGCTAACGTTATCGCTCGGCGTGATGACTCAATTGACAAGGTCGTGATTTTTAGCGAGAAACTTTGTAGGCTTAGCCGCTGGCTCGCTTAATTAGAGTCGACGACGTCCACGCGACCGCCGGCGCTCGGGATGCGCGGCGAGCGAGAGAGAGCTAATTTAGTCGGCGCGCGGGGATCTAGGCGGCACGATCGGTATATACGCGACGAGAGAAGCAAGAGGAAAAAAATGAGAGAAAAACGAGCGGCTCAAGCGAGGAGCCGAGGTTTAATAGAATCGTCCGCGCCGAGAGACACAGATGCGAGAGAGAGAGAGAGAGAGAGAGAGAGAGAGAGAGAGAGAGAGATAAGCCAGCTTTCTTTCCACTTTGCTCGATGGCTGCGCGGCTCTATTATTATAATGTCCGAGATTCGCTGCTCGCGAGCTTCTAACGGGATCTGGCTTTTTGGGTTGGTTCTGGATAATCAGCCAGGCTTGATTGCTCGCTGATTGCTGCACGCGAAATTCGCCTGATTACAGTAATTCAATGTCGAATAACAACTTGATCATGCCGGCGGAATTAATTACGTTCGGCGCACGCGAAACGCGAATAATAGCGTTAGACCAAACGCGGCGAGTCTTTTGACTTGTAGACGCGAGAGCTTGATTTCATCGTTTTATCGAGTATTGTCATTCCGACGCTGTTTTGCAGAAAACTCATTCCAAGCAACATTTCGCGCTTGGAATGGCGAGTAGCCCAGGCAAGACTTTCTTCTGTTATTAAATAGTTGACGAGTTGACAGTGCACACACAAGCCCAGCAAAAAGTTCCAACTGTCGTTCGCAATTGAGTAATCCATTGACGCTATTAAGCCAATAATAATTCTTCAATGCTAATAGCTCGACAGCTTTCGGCTTCGCTGTTGAATAATGTGGTTCGTGCCCATTAAAGTCTGTGAATGGCGACAGTGTCAATATCGATTTCTTCATATATCTTAGCGCGGATTAATAATTTGGAGAAACTGTTTCCACGTTGACACGCGCAAACTATAACGGAACGATGCTCGCGAGCCTCTTCATCTGGACACTGTGCAGCGTCGTCGCCGTGCGTGGTAATTCAACGCGTTGACTGCTTCATTTTTCACGCTTACTTTCATAGCTCAACTTGGATCTTTCGCCCGGGGCATTTAGCCGACAACTTCGAGGACGACCTGTATTGGAGGATCCAAAATGGACAGGACGCCAACGAGAGGGAGATACCATATGTGGTGAGGTTGAGATGTCGACCGTGCGCCGAGTGCCAGTAATGACCGTGAGCCATGTTATCTCGACAGGTATCTATCCAGAGCGTGAAAAAGTCGGAGCACTTCTGCGGCGGCTCGATCCTCTTGACGAATTGGGTTCTCACCGCGGCGCACTGTGTCCTAAGGTACGCACGCGATCGATTGATTTACCGGGCGGCAGGCGCCTCGTCCGCGCACGAGACCGCTGCGCGATCAATTCAAATAACACGGGATTTTCCTTGTCTGCGCCGAGAAGGGACCGGGTCGATGTGTACCCTCATCAAATTCAGGTGACCACCGGCATCATAAATACCGCGCCGAGGAGTGTCCACCGAGTATCGAGGATACGCCATCACGAGGAGTACGCGAGAAACGATTCAGCCATAAACGACATCGCCCTTCTGAAGGTTGGCGCGCCGCCACTTATCGATCGATTGCGTCCGTTGCGCGTGCGTAACGCACTCGCCGGCGCCTCTTCCCATATTGTTTTTTCTTCTTTTCGTCTTTTCTCGCGCAGATCACGCCGCCGTTCGTCTACAACGAGTTCGTCGCGCCCATCAGGCTGCCCTATCCTCACTTGTTCATTCCCGCGGGTACGAGCGGCGTCGTGGCTGGCTGGGGCTCTACGTCGTACGTAAGTTGACAACTCTTGCTCGTCCTCGATTGCTTCTCGATTCACCATTTGAGCGACCGCACGAGCTCGTCGTGACGTATGATGCAGCCGAAGCTGAATATGCCGTCGCGGCTGCAGAAGCTCGACGTGACGATCACCAGCGAGAACTTCTGCAAGGAGGCCTACATGATGCTGCTCCGGAACATTTATACCGTGCATCTGTGCACCTTCGAGACTACCGACGTTTGGGCGGGCAGTTGTACGGTAGGTCAATCGATCGTAAGCTTTTATTACTGCCCGGCAATGCATTCAAACGGCGGAGCCTTCTCTTTTCAGGGTGATTCGGGCAGTCCATTGACCGTCAACAATGATGTTCTCGTTGGAATTGTCTCGTGGTCACGTAAAAAGGGCAGGTGCGGCAGTCATCCGAACGTCTACACGAGAGTCTCCGAATTCATCGATTGGATCTTGGAAACTGTGTTCGAATAAGAAGGAAAATCGGCCAATAAACGTCCTTATCAGGAGCGTCAATACACGAGTGATCTAATAATAGCAGAAAAAAACCTTGGCGAAAGCGCTGATAAAGAACACTTACGAAGTTGGCGCGAGTTAAAAAGTCCAAAGTGTTCTGTGCGCCGATAATCAAGCTCTTAATTTGTGTTCGCGGCCGCAGCAGCAGCAGCCGTAGTGAGACATTAAACGGGAGAGAGAGAGAGAGAGAGAGAGAGGAGTACGCCCGTTAACTCCGTTAATTGAGTTAGCGAAAGCTGCTGCTGCTACTGCTGCCGTTGCTGCTCGCGATTTCTTCTCGCGATGTAAAAAGATGACGAGGCCTTTCATTTCTTACCGACAACGACGACGTGGCCGAAGATTTGATTGTCGACCACGTGCGAACAGTTCCATCGGTGATGCCGGAACTGATGGCGACACTCTTTGAGGCCCAGTTCCGCTCCTTCGCCCACCGCTGGCATGGCGTGTGGCGCTTTTCTACACAGCTCTCGTTGATTCTTGCCCAGGCCTGGAATGCGAGCGCACAGCGCTGCTCCTACCACCACGGCGCCGACCATCCTGTCGCAATTTCAAGTTGATGTTTGCGTTAGAAATAGGCGACAACGCGCGTGTTCATTGTAAAATGTAAAACGCGAAAGGCTCCGTTCGAGCCTCGATGTAATTCGACTCGCTCGCCGAAACGCATCACAACAGTGCTACCGGCACTCGCGTACCCAGGACAGACCGACTGGCGAATAATCAATTTCACGGCGCGTTTGCTCCCCTGTCAGTCCGATCTGCACGCGCGCTATCCTCCTCCCCGCGGCCTCTCCGCGCGTATTTCAATCCTCGAGCGCCGTGCTCGGGAGAGAGGTTCTTCGAGAAACCGATCGACGCATGGGAACCGAGAAATCGAAGCAAGCGCGTCGACGATCGGCGCGCAAAGCGGCGCATCGCGCGCCGGGGTGAGCGCGAATCGATCGTAAATCTCGCTAAACAAAGACGATAACCCATTTTTAGTTCTGCCGCCTCGGGCGGCACATCTTTCGCAATTGATTTATTTTACGAGAGAGTGAGAGAGGAGCGCCAGGTATTTTTGATTTAGGGTTATACGCGCTGGGTAATTACGCGCGAGCACACGGCTAATTGATTGTACGGCGTGATTTTTCAACGCGATCGCGAAAAGCGGCGACAAAATAGCCACGGCGCGGAGAAAGTACGGCGGCATTTATAACCGGCGATTTTATCGACTCGAAAATTCCACTCGGAGATAGGCGCGTGCAGCGGAAACTAATCGCGCCAGTGGTCGCGGCCCAGTTGATCCGTCGTGGTCGTCGTCGCGCAATCGATTAGCCGTTAGTGGAATTGTAATCAATCCCCGTAATAGCTCTGCCGCTTGGAAAATCCTTTATCGCCAAGGCGCATCTGTGCGTCCCGAATAATTTATGTATGGGGCCGCTTAGGAGCGCGCGCATATATCGGTAACTCATCGAGAGTGAAAAGGAAAAGGAATCCAATTCCCGCGGCGGAGGCTTCCAGATCGCAATGCCGGCCGTAGGGACAGTCGCGAGCGCCAGAATTCTCCCGGCTAGCGCTCGCGAATTATTGGCGACGCGTGCAATGTACTCTTTTCGACGCTCGGCCGCGGCTAATCTACGCTCCTTTTTCTTTTTACGGCGGGCCTCGTTGCGTCCCGGAGCGCGCGCTGCTTTTTATCAGTCGGAAACACGACAAGTCTCTTAGCGGCTCGTCTCGTCGATCATCATAAAAACGAAGGGGCAGGGGGAGAGAAAAATGCCCGTTTCTCTTGCTCGCCAAACGAATAATTGAGAGGCAAGGCCCGCCCGCGCTTCGACAAGTGTCGAGCTGTCGGGGCACGTTTCACGCCGATCCGATACAACGACGAGGGTCGCCGCGCGCGCAACGGCCTTATCCACTTTCAACATCGCTCGCTCCGTGGATTGTTCGGAGCGCCGATGCGCTACTTCTTCTCCTTTTCGTGTCGAATTGGAAATGCGCCTGTCCGCAGCGCGCAAAGTTATGTGTAGCGTCGAACCATCTTTTTTTTCTCTTCCTTGAACGGCAGACTATATCATAGGAAAAAATAATGCCTCGTTTTCTTCGTTTTTTGATCGACGATCAAATTTGGCGCGCGTGGATAATAAAATGAATTATCTCGCGATAAAAATGCTGCTAGTTGTAAGAGACTCGGTGTGTCGTGCGTCCCGCGAAAGAAGTTTTTCAGAGAACGATGATTTTTTTTTCATCGCGACGGTGACGACGACGACGACGACGACGACAACGGCGATGATCGACGATAAATTCCCGACGCTGAATTGCTTTTTGCTCCTCGCACGCCCGTTTTATTTACGATGAAAACAGTTTCAATGTGTGCGAGCGATGAGCAGTAAACTAACCAAATGCGATGAAGGGTCATTTACACGTTCGAGTTTTGAAAGGAATCGCGTATGAGAATTTTTACGCTTCATCAAACTTTCATTTTACAACCGCTGGCGAAAAGCAGAAAAAAGAAAGTGTATCGTTTGGACTTGCACGAAATTGCAGTTATTCAAACTATAACAACGTCGGCTCAGGAAGCCTTCGGCGCGAGCGAGCATTTCAAGCAACACTTTAAAGGTAAGTCTCGAAATTCGAGTCTCGGACCGCGTGTATACAAGGCAAAGCAGTCATCGCCAGCATAAAAGCAGAAAATATTCAGTGAGCCGCGCGCGATCTCCGAGCCAGCCTGCTGTATACGCGAAAAAAATAAACGCCAAACCAATAACTCGTTAATTTTATCTTGTCCGCGACTGGAAAAATGCTGCGGAGAGAGAGAGAGAGAGACGGAGACCGGTACACCCACTAATACGTCGCGACACAGCGCTTATTAGCCTCGGCCAAAAAAGTGCAGAGCCATTTAACGGTAATTAATAATCGTCACTTCGGTTTCGATTAACATATGCGCTTTCTTTGCACGCGGCCTGGCGCCGGATATGCATCTAATACCCGTTGCCCTAATAATAGCCAGCGCAATAAATCGCTGCCCGCTGCTCTCTTACAAGTCGCGATTCGATCGGCAGCGCAGCGAACCAACAAGTAGCAGCCCTTCTCTCTCTCTCTCTCTCTCTCTCTCTCCGCATTGCATATTTTACGCGATACGTTCTGATAAGGATTAAGGGCCTACTAGGGCCACAAGCATTATTTAGCGGCGGAGCATGCTCTCGCGTTCGAACTGTCTTTTTTTCGTCGAGGCGCTTCGCATTTGTCCAGGGAGGACGGGAGGGGGGAAGGGGGACTCCCCTTTATTCGAGAACGATTCCTCGACTCAATAAATTGGCTATATACTCCGCGGCCATTCAATGTAAACGCTCGTTGCGACTGCCGAGACGCGAGTTTTTATCGTTTACTCGCCAATTGCATCTGGTTCCCAGTACCTACGTCTCTTTCAATTCAAATTGCTGATCGCCATCGGATAATGCGCTTTTTCTATAAGCCCGTTTGCTGGTCTCTCTTACTTTCGAGACGTTTCGCCATTCACTTCCACGGCAATAAACTATTCATCGCGAGCGCGCGGAAGCAAAAAGGAAGCTCTCTCTCTCTCTCTCTCTCTCTCTCTCTCTCGATTTCATTTCAATCACGTCCAGCCGATTTATTTCCGACACAAATCATTTGCCGCTGGCAACCGATGGGTCGCACAGTGAACTATCACTGCCAAATGAATCAGAAGTGCCGTCAGTCAGCGCGCGACCGTAAAATACACGGCTGCCCGGCTGGCCGGAGGAAGGCGACGTAGCGCGCTCGCTCGTTGCCGCTTGGCCCTTGTCGACGGCTTTTCTTTTACGGCTTTTCCCGGAACAGCACGCACGAGAACGCATCGTCGGGGTCTACCGATTTTCCGGCTGCAAGGTGTGTCCGGATCGTTGGTCGGCCCGCACAAAGTCTTGTTTTCCTCTCTGTCGGCGTTCAGATAAGTTTCGCCTCTGGGCTAATTAAAAGGGATCTTGGCCCGCAAGGCTCGGCCAAGCAAAGCCGGAGATAAGATCGATATCGACGTGCGCGGCCGGTCGCGCGCAAGAAAAGCCACGCGGCGCAATAATCGGCCTCTCTGTTGGCCGCGCTGGCAGGTGAGAAATTTTCACGCGCACTGCCTGCTTTGTTTTTACGATCGACGGATGCGGAGGATTAGATCGTCGCGAGATCAAGTGGGAAATGCTTTTAAAGGCCCCTGCCTCTCTAAGCTCATCTAGATCGATATCTGGAGATGAAAAGAAAAGAAAGGAGAGAGAGAGAGAGAGAGAGAGAGAGAGAGAGTACGCGGACGAGGAGTTGGGCTGACAAACGAGTATGTATACCGTTTTAATGCGTCGATTGGTCGAGCCAATTACGCGGGAATGTATCGTATCGGTCGCGTCACCGAATTAAACGAGAGGCTCCGACTGACAAGGTTGCATCCGCGCGCGCTCGCCCGAAAGCCACCGAGCGCTGATACGCGTCGTCCGCCATCGCTTTATCACTTCGCCATCGAGACTTGCGCCGCCACGCCGCGCGCAATCCGTGGCCGCCACGGCGATGACAGCTCGGCCGACTCGCAACGACCGCGATGAATCTTTCTCGAGCAGCGAGGAATGAACTTTTTACGTCTCCTTTTTTTCTTCTTTCTTTTTTAGTACTGGCCATGCGCGACGCCGAGAACGTTTTGCGAAATCAATCTTGTAATGAGCGCTTTAATGCCGGCTGCAGGTGTAAACAGGCGTGCTAAGCATTTCCAATGAGCATCACAATCGAGTTGCACGGGAGGCAAGCTTTTCGACCGAGCCTTCGCTCGCTTTCTAAACCTGGATGTTTTCGAATGGCGCGACTGCCGTTCGTGAAAAAGCAGGTCGGGCCGCGCGGGAGACAAAAGGTCCTCGAGAGAAGCGACGGCGCCAAGAATGGACTAGTTTTTAATGAATTCGTCCGAGGATAGAAAGAAGGAAAGAAAACCTGAACGAGGCTAGACGAGAAGATTATCATTCACGAAATGGATTCCCGGGTGCGCGAAAACGAAGATCGTGGCGCAGGGTCCTGAAATACGGTCCTGAAATACGCAGTGAGCGCGCGTCGCACGCGAAATGTTAACACAGAAATTATGCTAATCCGCGAGAGTCAATCATATTGTTACGCGAGACACACGCGCGCCGGCCAGAAACGGAGCGAGCGTAGGTATAATTTTATGGAAATACAGCCGTTCCCCGAGAAAAATTGGCCGCGCGCGCGTCCGCGAAATAAACCCCGGCGTTTATATTAACCGGCTATTACCGACAATCACTTATATCTGCCGAATGGGATTTTGTAATACGAAAATTCCAGCTGCAGCGCTTGATTGGCTATAAATTCATTATTACCTTGGCTGCTTTAATAAAGTTATTCCCCCGAGCGTCTCTTCGCGCGGATTAAGAAAATCGACGTTACACACAAAAACCGGAAAGCCGATTTCTCTAGAAAAAGAGAAAAAAAAAGGCTAGAAAGAACGAGAGACACACTTTATACAGGCCACCCAGCGTTGGAAGAGAGAGAGGGAAAAAAAAGGAGCAGAAGGA